ACATACTGCACTTATAGCACACAAGACACACACACAGCGCGCACGCAAGCACACGCACACACATACACACAATGCACACACACACACACAGCGCGCACACGTACTGCACTTATAGCACACAAGACACACAAACACACACACACACAGCGCGCACGCACGCACGCACGCACGCACGCACACGCAGCAGGCAGCTATCAGGACACTCAGGCCTGAGCCCCTCCTTTCCTTCCCCTCACCTGCTCCCGCCTCCTCGTCCTGTTGGCTCTTTTCGGTGTCAATCAGGGCGTCGGTGAGGTCGCATTGGTTGATCTCCGCGGTCTCGGCGGGCAGGCAGGGAGGGAGGGAGGCGGGACTTTCCGACAGCTGCGGGAGACAGAGGGGGCAGCCAGTGACTCCCAGGGGTACAGAGTTACTGCCGGTCACTCCTGTCGGTGTGTCCCCCCTGTCCGTCTCCCAGTCCCTGTCCTCGTACCGGCAGCCTCTGCCCAGCGATCTCGGTCGGGGGGTGGGGTTGTGGAGGCGGGTGCAGGTCGCCGTGGGAGACCAGGTACTGCAGCAGGTTGACCAGGGTGGCGCAGGAGTCAGCGCAGGTGTGGAGGTGGACGACATTGTTGGAGCAGCGCAGCTCAAACAGGGGCTGAGTCTGAGACAGAGACGCAGAGGGTCAGAGAGACAGAGAGGGGCAAGACTGAGACAGGAACAGAGAGAGATTTCTTACTCTGACCCACAACAGACTGACAGTCAGAGAGACGGAGACTCTCACCAGCTTGCTGTCCTCGCTGGCTCTCCAGGTGGTGATGGCCAGCTCCAGGAGGTCAATGTCCAGAACACAGACATAGTCTAGAGGGACAGAGGACGAGGGGAGAGTACTGTTAACGTCCATACAGTCTGCAGCAGTGAGGCACACACCAAGCAGGAGACGGGAGCACCCACCCCTGCGCAGGTCCACCGTGTCGCTATCACACCTATCCGACAGGTAGAGGGCAGAGTCGTCCAGTATGAACCTGAGAGAGAGACAGGCAGACACAGGGTTAGAGTAATGACTCCCAGTCCAGGTTTTACAGTGCTG